CCATTTTTTTGCTCTGCCATCCACTATAAAAGAAGCCAGCCAGATTTTTAGGCTCATTTTTGCCTCCCTCTGATGCCAAGATGGTGCTATGTAACTATGCCAAACTTTTGCACCAAAATTTTGGGATGAGAAATAGAACTAGATGCTTGAGTTGAAAGAATGATTTCTAAACATATATTTTTTTTTTTATTTATCCTGTGTTTTGGCCTTTGTCATTCCTTCTGATGTGGAATTCCTTCGTATTGCTTACACACTTCTGTATGTGATGCATTTCCATCCTCAAAAACTATAGAAATAAGATAATGACCTTGATTGCTTCAAGACTTGAAGTTACCCAGCAGTGATCTTACTTCTGTGGGAACCTGTCCTTGAAAGGGATATGCCCACAAACTGAAATGCTAAATACGGGCTCAGAGCAAGATTCCTGGAAGAGGTTGGCTGCTATTTTTGCATACTAATTAGTGGAAAAACAGTTTTCTTGGATATGATGTGTGTCTGTTTCTGCTGATCAGCTAAGCTTTGTATCAGTTGCATCTTGGGGAGGGGCAGGGAGATGTCAGTAACAACATAAAAGGAGTTATATATCTGACGTGGAAGTGCTTGGATTTATGTGCTTTTGTTCCAAATGCCCATGACTGGAAATTGCAAACTCTTAATAAATTAAGTCTCTGACTTCTAGTCTCATGTTTCTACTTGTTGTAAGCAATTTATAGTTAATGGCATGATTATTTTATTATGCAGTTACAGGCAGAAAATGCATGAATCCTATAACAAAAGAAAGATAAAATTTTGCTTCTAAACTTATTTAATAAGATGTAACAAATATTTGTTAAAAATATTTCTGAAAACCTAAATGGGCCTTCTTTGTGGTCTTAAAGCCTAGTGCTCTGTAAGTCATTAATTTTCTAATAAATTTCTTTCTGGAGATCTTGTTGTGGTGGGTTTTTTTAATTATTTTTGGAGAAAGCTAGATAACCTCTTCCGCAGTTATTAAAACTGGAACAAAAAGCTGACATCGGAGATATGAGTCTAGAAATGTAATACATTTGAACCAAATGAAATCTCATCTTTCCTGACTGACAGGTTGAGTGACTGATTGTGTAGACTGTATGCTCTGTTTTTAAATAGATTTCTTCTTGTTATTCATTTCTATCCTTTTTAATTTTTTTTTTAGCCACCAGGCTAATGAAATAATTTTTACTCTGTTTTTTCCAGCAAAGCCAGGAACCTTTTTGAAAAGAATGCTGCTCCAATTTTGCACTTATCTGGCTTGGATGTAACTGTGGTTAAGGTAAGAACTGTTCTGTTAATTCAGATATATTGCCTGCTCTGCTTTGTCCTCCTGAAGAATTGAAATTCAATTCTGGACGCATTTGAAATTCTCAGTTGTCTTGTAGACATCTCATGAGAAGAAATACATACTGAGATATTAAGCTGGCACTTAATCTTTTCCTTTTTTACTTCACAGTTAATTTACAAACTGTGTACTGAGTTTTTAATTTTCAGCTAAAGCAGTAAATCTACTTGTCTGTCTGTCTAAAGCAGCCCTTCTATAATTCGTTTGAGAGAAAACTCTCTAAATATTTGAGTGCTGGCTAGTGGTGCGTGCCCATCACTGTTGAAATTGTCAGTTCTGCCTGAACTTGCAGAATTCAGAAGCGAGGAACTTTGACGTGCAGAGGAACTGTTCAGATTAATTAAAAATAACCTTTTATTTTTACACTGAAAATATCTCGGTGTATCCCCAAGTAATTCAATATTCCCATCATGAAAACAGAACGCTGAGTTCTAAATGGTGTGAATTAGCAGAGAGGTTTTCTTTGGAAAGAGAAGAAAAAGTAAACATATTTTTGCAGGTTTTTGAGGCTGTGCTATGTGGATAGTTTAATAGTCACCGTGTCCTAGCAGTGAAGTACCATAATATATATCTTTCTGTCTTGGAATCTTTTTCACAAGGTTTAGTGTTAAAATGCTGGTTGTTATTAATGCCTCTCTCTAATCATTGAAAATACATAGTTCCACCCTAAGAGAAAAAAATTGTTTTGAAAGACTTAAAACTGACGCTTTGTAGCTTCAGACGTGACAAGTTAGCAAAACAGAGCTAGGCCAGTAACTGAGGCTGAGGTGTCCCTGTAAAATAATTTTGCAGAAAACATTTTTAGTGGTTTAGAAAGTCATTGTACTTTGGCTTTGGCTGCTAAAGATGTTGGGACTTTTTGTGCAAGAGCATGGTTTGCTTGTGGTTTTGTTTCACTGCAAAACTACCCGGAAATATGATTTTTGCTGTGATATTCTAGATCTATTGAATAAGATTGATATTTCATTTACCCTTTGTGTATGTGTGTTTGCTTGCACATACTGTATTAGGCAGCAAACTTGTTTTATAAGTTGAAGAAATTTCAGTGAATGTAAATAACACAGTACTGTGTGCCTATATGAGAATAACTATTAAGCAAATGGATCGATGATTCTTTTTTTTTTTCTATAGAAGAAAAATCCTAAAAATAGTCACTTGAATTCTCATGTTTGGATTTCTGTTTCTTCAGACTGATTATGAAGGCCAAGCAAAAAAGCTGCTGGAATTGATGGAAACTACAGATCTGATCATTATTGCAGGAGGAGATGGCACAGTACAAGAGGTACTGCAGGAGCTTTGTCCTGGTTTGTTGAGAATCATAATCAGGCTGAGGGTGAGAAGATTGAGTCTGTGTAATGTAGCGACATCATAACAGCTATTACTAGAGATTTGTCCGTTTTAGTATCTGTGTTTTCAGTCAATGTTATAATCTTCCAGGGATAAGAAAACTCTGCTAGTTGTTATTAGTCTAAAACCGATGATGGGAGTGGGGGCAGCAAGAGTGTGTGACATAAATATCTTCCAGAATTTTATTCTAGAATGAGAAAATTATTTGGGGAGACGTGATTATATCTTTTTCTTTCTGTGTAATGCAGCTGTAATGGTTTAATTTTCAAAGCTCATTCCTATCTGTACTCCCCAAGAGGAATGTATGTTTTGCCAAGTGGGAATCAAATAATTTAAAATTTACGTGGAAGTGATAACAAAGCATGGTATATATTTAATAAATGCCTATTGTCAAGATGATTAATGACGGGAGCAAACTACCACCAGAACTGGGGGATACTCTATTTTTCAAGGAAGGCTGTGTATTATTAAAGCATTTCCTGCAATGCTAACTACTGGCGTCATAAGGCAATGGCTAAATGAAATGCAATGACCTTAAGAGAAGGTGGTCAGAATACATCTGCAAGTTTCTCCTGGCCTTAGAATTGATTATTGTTAATTACATAGTGACCGGGGCTATTTTTGCATTATGTAGAGCATTATTCGATGTTAAAACATTTACGCTGGCGTTGGTTGTGGGGCCAGCATATACTCATGCATGCTTATAACCCTGCTATTTCCACCACATTCGCACACTGAACGTGCCTCCTTTCCCATGTAAGCAACTGTAGCACCTTCTATAAAAGAGTAGCTGCTCCTTACATCTTTTCCAAAGTGTAAATGTGGGTATGAATGTTGTAGCTTTCTACTGTAACTGAAAAAATTTTCAGAGCTGAGCATTTCCCATGTCTTTCAGGTCATAACTGGACTTCTCCGCAGAGCAGATGAGGTGAGGAAGTGTCATTTTAAAAATTTTGTTTATTTTGTAGACAAAATGTGTTGTGCATCCACTGTGATCCCTTGGCCTCAGCTGTCTTCTGCAGATATGTTGCTTACTAATCTGGAGCCAGCTTGCTGCGTAGTAAGTCAGCCATGCCAGTGTCCTGCAATTCTGCCTGTTGTTCTTCATGCCCTTTCTCGGGGAGTGCAAAGGCTCCCAAGCCATGGCTTTGGGAAGTTTCCAGCATCAGAGCAGGGATTGTGGAGAAGCCAAATGAAAAACTTTTAAAGACCCATGGACCAGCTGTGTATGCTGCTTTGTTTGGCAGAAGCATTGGGCGAAAGTTCATGTTTTTCTTGTATTTGTACAGGCTTGAAACCGAGCTCAGTTATGTCCGTGTTCCTATTGCTTTATTACTGCTTTGCCATTTTTTTCAAGCAGTGAATACCTACCTATGCAGATGGCTGCAGAAAGCAAATTTTAACCTTTCAAGGTGGATCACTCTGAATGGAAATGAGAGAGATTTTTCTTTTTAAAGAGGGAGGACAGTGTTATTGAAGAAAGGAGGGAATCATTGTTCTCAAAACCTTCTGGCAGGAGCTGGCAAAAACTCAATTAAATGATCCAGGCAAGATTATGATGATATCCTTGGCAGCTAGAATTGTATCTGTTTAGGCAGTTGCTTTGTCTGAATGTGACAAGAGAAACTCTGCAACCAAGCCAGTATTTTTAAAGGGATGCTGGCTGTATCAATTATGAGACATCCATTTTTAAAATTTAATGTTATTATAGTTGACCCCTGAGACCTCGACAGTCTAGAGATACTAGAAGAAAAGTTTTGGAGGCTTTACTGGCTAGTATTTCTTCTCTGTTTTTTGACTGTCTTGATGTAGCTTGGGTTGATTTGCAATAACGTAGAAAGTTCTGCATCCAGCACTATTTTGGGTGGAATACTGCACTGTAGTATTGCCACTGTGTCACTTTATGTCTTTGGCCAGGGAATTCTTCTTGTCCTTCATATCACTCTGTCCTAGGAGTAGAGATCTGCAGTTCAGCCCCCTCACTCTGTCCTCTGCTTTCCTTTTTACTCGGGTATGTCATACCACTGTTGCCTGGATAAGAAGAGCCTGTGCAAGGTATTTCAGAAATGCTGTTCCTAGCAGCCAGGGGAGCAGAGCATGACTGCATGAGCTGCAAACAGCCTGTCGTCTGCACGCTGTAAAACAATTCTGAAGAAAATGAGAGAAGGGTGTTTGAGATGTGTTAAGACTCGCAGGAGACACAGAGATAGCGAGGGAGAGCGGGTGGGCATGAGGTGAGAGGAGTATTACTTAGTTGGTGTGGATTTGCAGTATCATGGAGCTGTTAGTAGCAATGCCCAGGAGGGAGATGGTACATTGTGATATATAGTAGTTTACATTGATTTGCTGACATGCTTCAAGAAGCACAGTTTATTATGAGGTATAGTGTAATAACTTGCTCCTTCAACAAGCCCTTTTGCTGAACTGTGGTACAGAAAAATAACACAGTCAATGACTTCCAAAAATTAGACCTTCTGCTGCTTCATGATTTGGATGCCAGAGGAATCAATTAATTTCCTTTCCTTAACTGAGAAAATATCTTTGCCATGCAAGGTTACTCTATCAGAGGGGGATTTGTGCAATGGTAAATGAGATTCAGAGCTTGTGATGCCACCATCAGTATTAAGAAAGATGGCAGATTGCTGACAGAATCCATGCATTAGTTAGGACGTGGCTGCCAACCTGCATGTAACAATGCTCTTAATGATTACAGAGAGCTCCTTTGTACCCAGTTGGCAGTGGTGGGTTCACAGATTTGGATGCCATGTTCTGAGTCATTATGTATTACTGCCTCATTTAAGGAAGTGCCTGGCTGCTTAGTGCCAAAGGGGTGATATCAGACACAGCTGTTATCTCCACACAGGAAGCTTTGTTCAGCTGATGCAAATGTTAATTTACTCTCCTCATGTGTCCAGGCTGTCTTCAGTAAGATTCCTATAGGATTCATACCTCTTGGAAAGACCTGCACTCTGAGCCACACACTCTACCCTGAGAGCACGAACCAAGTCCAGTAAGTATTACATGTTTCTGAAAGGGGGATTTATTTTTTGTTTGTTTGTTTTCAAGGAGCAGTGCTTCTCGGTAGCTTGATACTTTTCTTTTTCTTCTATGTTACATAGAAGTTGGCAGTCTCTGGGCAGAGCCTGATGATTCTCTGGACTTGCCTGGGTTAATGGCTTCCAAAAACAGACTAAAAATTAAAAGAAGGAAATGTATGTATTATTAGAACATGAAATAATTTTCTGTGGCTAATTTCTCTGTGATCATGTGATGTTCAGCAGTTTAAAAAAAAAAAAAAGAATTAAAAGGATCAAGCCTCTTAGGAATAGTCAGAAAGAATATGACAAGGATATAGCAAGGATATGACAAAGTAAAAAAAAAAAAAAAAAAA